AACTGGGAAAAATAGTAAGTGTTGTTCTTGGCCATCGGCACATTAAGGTCTGGCAGGTCTTCTCCAGAACCTGACGCCACTCTTGTCTTGCCTTAGCGCATGTTTGACAGTGTGTTCAACCTTCAGCAAATAATCAAGAGGCTCTCAAAGGCTCTGACTTCTTGATTTCTCGCAAGTTAAATGGAGATTAGGCATCAGAGAGCAAATGCATGAAGAAGAGAATAGCAGTCCTGGCAACAGCAGAAATTACGGGTCCTCAATCCATTGGTTGCTGTGTTTTAATAATGAAATCTGTTGCAAAATACAGCTCCAGAATTACAGAACACAAACAATATATTTCCATAATACTTGAGCACTTCTTGTTTCATAAAATATGTGAAATAGCGTTTGGGTCTTTGATCATTTCAGTGGGCACAATGGTCCTGTCTGGGCATCCAATAGTTTTCAAGTCAACATGAGAATTGTGATCCAACCCATCTAGAGGTTACACTATCATTTTTTCCTCCCCGGGATTGGGAATAAATTGTAGTGACTAAAGTAGTCCCTTCTGTGCAAATCTTTTGTTTGGATTGACCTGGTAGTTGCTTGTCTTCTCTTCCTGACCCAAAGGTACTTTTTACAGAGGCAACTGGACTGACTTTCTTGCTTTTGCTTTGGAAGACGTTTCGCTTCTCATTCAAGAAGCTTCTTCAGCTCTGATAGCGGGTCCTCTCAGAGCTGAAGAAGCTTCTTGGATGAGAAGGGAAATGTCTTCCAAAGCAAAAGCAAGAAAGTCAGTCCAGTTGCCTCCTGAAAAAAGTACCTTTGCGACAACCATGACCTGGATGACTGAGAATCTATTTATTTTCATTTTATTTTTATTGATTGGACTTGTCAATTCACTTATAAGATAATAGGTATATGTATAAACATGAGTAAGAATCCAGGAAATAGGTATGAATAAATGGGGACAATAGGACAGGGACGGTAGGCATGACAGGCCTCTTAGGAATGGGGCGAGGTCAATAGTGAAAGTGAATCTCTACAGGCTTGTCTTCCTGATTTCTGCTCTTGGGAATATACCTGCTGTTTAGATGAAACTGGCCCTGAGGTTTTATTTACATGAACTGCCTGTTTGAGAAAATATACAGGCCTTTTTATCACCGTTTTTGAACTGGACTTGTCGGCTGACTTTCCTTAGAAACACATCATTTTCAGTATCAAAACAAATGGAATTTGAAAAATAAGAGCAAAGGTATCAACGTCTGGTAGCGTGGCCGAGCGGTCTAAGGCGCTGGATTAAGGCTCCAGTCTCTTCGGAGGCGTGGGTTCGAATCCCACCGCTGCCATTCAATTTTATACCACACTTTCACTTTCGCCATTCTTGGTAACATCCGGTTTGGGGCATAATGAGTGCGTTTTATTGCTGTGCCTATACGGCTTCCGGATGCGAGAAACCCCTGGATCCGAGACAGGCGGATCGTAGCTTCCACCTTTCAACTCGCCCTCCTTTTGGGAGATCTGACGCGTCGAACGTAAAACCAAAGCAAAGCTTATTAGGCGGATTGTTTAAAATTCACAAACGACACACCTTGACAAAATGCACAAATGACACACATTTGGGAGTTGTCGGAATTCAAAGTTGGTTGAGGCTGCCGCTCTTTGCAGAACACCAGACATGAATTTTGGGTGGGAAATCCCATTGTCCTCAGACAAGCTAAGCATTTGCAAGGCAAGCAGTGTAAGCCAATTAATGGTTTATTTTCCATTGAAAAGAATAACAATCCAAAAAATGTTTCTGCCCGGTTTCGAACCGGGGACCTTTCGCGTGTTAGGCGAACGTGATAACCACTACACTACAGAAACTCCTTTCGTTTTCTGCTTTCCTAAACTATCCTTATTTTATTTCTTTTGGTGGATGAACATTTTTTGTTACGTTAAGAGTAATTAACCGGGGAATCTTTAATTATCCTCAGCAAGCGAAGATTTTGACTGGCTTCGTTTGAAACCCAAGATTGCATTCTGGATGTGAGACGCGTGTATTTCAAACCCAAGTTTTTTTTTCCCCTGAGCCTTCCTCATGCGTGCAAGCAGGAAGAAGGTGCTAAAATTAACTGGATTTTGTGGAAAGAGTACATCGCCACATCGGTTTCCTTTGTTGCAAACTTTTCCTGTTCGGAGCCAGGAGCAGGTCAAAGTTTAGACTTTCCGGGTCTTCACTTTAATGTCTTTTGGCGATACGTAAAAAGGAGAAACTGCATGGGTCACCCAGGCCGAAAAGTCCTGTTTTGGAAATTTGGAGAAATTTCTCTCTTGAGACACAACACTCCAAACAAACAAACAAAAAAGGGCTCGTCCGGGATTTGAACCCGGGACCTCTCGCACCCAAAGCGAGAATCATACCCCTAGACCAACGAGCCACCGATAAAGAAAACTTTTCCAATAGCTTACTTATTCCTCGCTGTACGGAAGCAATTTTTGTGTGTATAGTTTTGTCTTTTGCTTACTTTGTTTGCTCTGAAACTTTCTTTTGCTACTGAACCGTAATTTCCCGACTCTTAATCCTCGCTTTTGTTTTAACTCGTCTGGTTTAAACCACGCCGTGATTGACATAATTTAAAACTGAGGAAGCTGCAGAATCTATTAATCCAGGTTTTTTTCTAGAATGGAAATCTACCCTTCACCACCGATCTCCCCCCACCTGAATTGTTTTAGCATTTAACAGCAAGATTTAAATGATTCTATTTTTCAGGGCTTACCCCCCCAAAAAAAACAAAGATTCTGGGGTGCCCATTTATCTAGGTGATGCGTTTATTATGCAAAATTGGGGTCTTGTACAAGCTTTGAAATGCTGCTGTTCTTTCAAGCAAGGACTTGACTGCAAGATTACAAACAAACAAAAAAAGTAATTCCTCTCCAAGGCAGAAAAAGCAAACGGGGAAGAGAGAGAAAGAAAAAGAAAGGCCCCAGCGAGATTTGAACTCGCGACCCCTGGTTTACAAGACCAGTGCTCTAACCCCTGAGCTATGGAGCCCACATGATACAGGCTCTCCTCTTTCCTGTGGATAAGGCTACCGCTCCGCTTGGCTGGCGCCTTATGGCGGAATGCTGATTGGCTCCTCCCTAAATGGGGAACCATCTTCAGAGCTTAGCCAGGGATCCCTGTCGAGTAGCCCTACATTTTGTCCCTCCACAGCTGCAAAGGCAGCAGCTCCACACGAAGTAATCCAGAAGCACTCCTTGCCGCGCTAACGTATTTTGGAGGGGAAAAGACACTGCATGGAAACAGTGCCTCCTGCTGTCTAGAATGAGTCTTGACAACGCACAGCTCTCCAAGCAAAAAAAAAAAAAGAGAAATCCTATGGGTTTAATGCATATATTTGACACGTTTAGAGTACATTGTAGTATTCGAAAACTCATTTTTGAGCTTTCTTGTGGTCCTTTATCGTAGGAATGTACGGTATCACTTCCAAAGTCATGTGGAAAAAAATAAGGACATGAAATTGTCCTCTTAATAAATGTACATGATATACTGCTTGATTTTAGATATTGCTAATTAGAAGATGCGGTTTTTTGTAAAGCAAAGACATGAACAATGCGGTTTTTTAATCTTTGTGGAGCTCTTTCAGATTTTCCCCTTTTTTCAGGTTTGTTCTTTGTTTTTTTCCAAGAAAATATGGTGACAGTCCCAAAAAGTAAAACGTCCAAACTCTGAGAAGGCTGTAGACCCACCATAGCTGCTATTAAATCATAAAACAGGCCTCATTTGATTTTTAAAAAGACCCAAATTTTCCTAAGAAAGAGCAAATATTCCCCTCCTGATACCACTGAGCATCTTAGCTCTGGGGAGACCCCAGAAGAGAGAATGCTATACCCCTCCCCAATAAGCCTCTGAAGAAAAAGTGGAGTTCATTTAAATGCAGAAACTTACTCTGAATTTCCAAATGGGGAGGAGCCTCACTGATAGAAAAGTCAAATAAGAGAATGTATATATCAATGACAAAAAGCAACAGTTATGGCTAATGGAGCGCTCTGCAGATTTTCAAATCAGTAATGGAATAAGGCCAGGATGGCCACTCTTGCTATTATTAGAAATACTGGCAGAAAAAAGCCAAGGTTAATAAATCACAAAATTTGTAGCAAGGAGTATAAGTTCAAATTGTATGTGGATGATGGTAGTATTGATGTCATATAGAATCATATGTTAAAGATAGAATATATGCACAACCAATAACCTTCCTTCCTTCCTTCCTAGCTGAGAACCTAGATACCTGCTCATCTTTTCCTTACCCAGAAGTTGAAGAGCCCCACAATTAAATCTTACTCCTGAACAAACATACATTCCTGTCATACTCCTAATGTGGTGTGTGGAGCAGGTCCTGGGGTACAAATACAGTTCTGCTGTCCCAAGCACACCCCATTGCTGCTTTCATCCCTATGACTGTGCCTGATACCTGAGGCTGAGGCCTCCTCTGACTAATGCTAGGCCTGATCCAAGAGGAGGAAAAATAGGAGCTTTTCATCATTGCCCATGATAGCAAAGGTAAAAATTTGGAAATGATACAGAATTGACTTTATGCCCACCCTGTGTGGTGATTGTTTAAAATAACACTCTTTCCTCAATTCCCTCTCCTCCCGCCATTTTGCTAACCATGGAAACATCAAGATAGGTTTCCTAAGCCATTTTACTCCAAGGGAAAAAAACAAACGAAAAGAACACAGTACTGTCCAAGCATCTTGATAAGAACCCGTTTATTTACATGCGGACAGGTTGATTTCAGGGTTGCAGTAGTTTACCAGGAGAGCATGTTAAATCCACACCTAGATTATCAATATTGTATTTCCCAAATGTGCTTCTTCTGAGCCACACCAAAGCTTAGTCAATCCCAGGTCCCATTTCAGGATAGATTCTTGTAAAGCAAGTCCACAGCATCCCGTCCGACAGATGGTACATTCCAAGCTATTTGGGATGGGCAAGCAAAGCCCACTGAATCCCCACTGTCCACTATGGGTCTAGCTAGACAAAGAGAAGGGCTTGCTGTTCTCTGGGTGCACATATACAAGGCCCAAGGGCAGGCGTCTTCAGGCATCCATCCGCATCTTCAGGATTTATTTGCAAAAGCCTCTTCACACGAGCAATCAATTCTGTACTGCAAGGTACAGTAAGTGCAAAAAGCCCACAAGGCCACATCAAAGAGAATCTCCCCTGAATTCAAGAGCCAGCCACACATCGTTTGCATTGAGAAACCCCAAAGTCCAAGAACTAAAGCTGAAAAAAATAAACTTAAGAAAAGTAATTATTTTTTTAATAGTAAATAGAAACGTTAGCTCTAATTGTGTGTGATTCTGTAGGATGAAATCTTTCTTCAACTGCCCCTGGGAACTGCACAGTATGTGGGCATCTTATATTTTGATACCCCAAGCATTCTCTTTCCTCCACTAAGATACCTTGAGAAGAAGCCAAAGAGAGAGGGAGGGAGGGAGAAAGAGAGAACACAGATTATTTTACCCTTTCCTGCAACTCTTGACCAGTTGCCTTTCCTATACCAAGGTTCAAGAACCATGTTTATGTGGGGGTTTTGATGCTTCCTGAGCTTGGTCGTTTTCTTGCAGACGTTTCTCTACCCTTGATTGTTTACAAGCAAAGTACAAGCTGTAAACAATACCCCAATCGAGGCGTTACCAAATGAGACAAACAATCGAGCAGTAAAGAATAGCCTAATCAAGGAACTACCAAGAACATTCCCGCCAATCCTTGTATATAAAACAGAGAGTAAAGCCCACTCCCTTCTAGCACTGATGATGTTACCTAGTTGGATAATGAAATGCCTGCAAGAAAACATCCCCATTCAGAGAGCACTAAGGACACCACGGTTCAACCTGGAGCTACAAATATTCTGTTAGTATTGGTGTTTGTATTAACATCAAATCAGAGACCCTGCTGGAGAGAAAGAACTGGACAAGGGAAAGCCTTCCATCCATCACTTCCCTGTTGCGAAACGTCCCCTTTGTAACTCTTTTGGAGGAAAGACATAGCAGCTAGAGGGTGGGGACAGTCCTGTATGCAATTTTGACACAATTTACCGTCTCTTTGTCATATTCCCTACAGCTATTCCAAAGGAAGGGGAAACGTTACACTTCTTCTCAACATTCAAGGTAGGTGAGATGCAATCCTACCTAACTGTGTGATAGGTTTGGGTTAGAAACAGAAGCTCAAACACCAAGGCTATTAACAGGACTCCTGCATGGCGTAGATAAATTGGTGGCATCTTCTGCAACTTTGTCCAAGATTTAGTTTTCAACCCCACTGGCATCTGAAGGTGGCCAGGTTTCTCACGTATTTTCCCCACAACCCTGGTGTCTCCCTTGGAGGTCAGCCCCATATCAAAACAAGTAGCACTTGCATCACCAGGGCTTCTTCCTGTTTCTATCGAGGCATCCTTTTCATCTCAGGAGCAAAGTTTAATATAGGTTATAGTGGAGCACACTGAGAAGAGCGGAAACATCTTCTCTGTGAAGGCGATGTTAAAGGTAAAGATGTGTTGCATGGTGTCAGCATTGTAGAAGGACACTTCCTCTCCTTCGTAGTCTAAGTAGACTCTAATTTTAATCAGCTTCTCATTCAGAAAAAGCGGGGTGCGTTGAGGAGTGGTGACTGCCCAATATTGCCCTCCATTTTGCTGTAGGGCCCAAATGCCCTCTTCGGGGCAAAATTGAGTCAGCCCTTTCCTTCGCACCGATTCCTTGGCCACTCCAAAGGCCCAGCCGTCGGCGGATCCCACCTCCACCTCCCAGTAATGCCGCCCAGACTTGAACCCTTCCTTTGCCAGGACTCGAGAGTTGGTGTCAAAGCGTTTGGGGCTGTCAGAGAGGTCTTGCTTGCGGCAACCCATCCGCACCGTCTTGAGATCCGGCGAGATGAGGAGGAGGTGGTTGGCTGTCTCCAGATCCAGAAGCAAGTCCTCTAAGTTGAAGCACATAGCGCCATGTCAACTATCACAACCACAGTAATAACAAGGAAAAGCAGCAGCAGCAAAGAGAGGGTGTGAAAATTAGAAGGTTCCTCTTTCTCTTTTGTTGAGTATTTTGCTTTGTTTTCATTTTCTTTTTTAAAAAACCCAAAAACTATGCCTAGGTAAGAGTCTGCAAGTAAAAAGAATTTCTCTCCTTGCTAAGGGAGGGGAATCATATGTCCCTTTTACGACCTGTGAACATGAGCATGGCTCAGGAATTTGGGTAGTTGAAGTTCACAGATCATAAAAGGGCCATAATGCCACACCCGTTTAGATCAAGGCAGGCCATAGTAACAGCACTGAGCAACATGTTTATTTTTCACTGAAATATCTTTGCTTACTGGGAAACCCTGAAGATTTCCATCTGAACCTTCCTGAATATTCCCATCTATTAACTGGATACGATTTGTCTTGCTTATCATACCAGCGTCAAACATTGAATTCTTTTACAGATAGTCCTCACCTTATGCCCATAAGGGAGCCCGTCCATTACGGTTGTAAGATGTGAGGGTCATAAAATAATCATCCACATGACCGACTCAATTTTACAACCTTTTTTGTGGTGGTCATTAAGCAAACACCACAGTTGTAAAGTGAACCTTTGTTTGCTTTGGGCCGGTTTTCCTGAAAACTGGAGGTAAATGCTGGTTTTCTGCAAAATCGTCACAAAACACAGTTGTATGACCACTGGACTCTGCAAATGGCTGCAAATGCAACCATGCATAACATGTGGTTATGTGAATGCAGGGCAATGGGGATGGAAGGCAGCTGTTGGAACTTTAGATCAGAGGTGAAAATACCCCTGGGGAGTTCTGTCATAACTTCAGTGACTACGTAATCAGTTATAAGTCAGGGACTACTTGTAGCAAGTAATCATTATTGAAACAGCACTTTTAAAGTCTATCTTATTTACCTTTCCATCAAGTCCAGAAGAACAACCATGAATTATTATGACTATGTTTTGTTAAATTAATGGAAAAATAACATGTGGGAGAGAAGGTTAACATTTAAACTTTGAAAAAGTGCCCTGTCATGGTAACAGAAAGCATAAACAGGAAGTCTACAATCTATGCACTCCATGCATGATTTTGGCTTTGACAATTTTGCTTGGCTTATAACATTTACCTTTCTCACCTTTCCCCAGTTCATCCCGGAGATGATCTGAAAGAAGAGAACACAGTTGTCAAGGAGTCAGATCTAAAAGGCAACAGAAAGCAGTTGTATCCAAATACCTTGAATTCAGTGTTCCTCAATCTCATACGCTCTATCTCAGAGATGGTATTCAGCAGGTTCTGACCAGTTCTGGAGAACTGGTAGCGGAAATTTTGAGTAGTTCGGAGAACTGGCAAATCCCACCTCTGACTGGAGATTTTACAGTATCCTTCTCCTGCCACGCCCACCAAGCCAGGCCCACAGAACCGGTAGTAAAAAAATTTGAATCCCACCATTGCTCTGTATATATTACTCATAAGACAAGCGTGGGCTGTTGGGGGTTCACAGGGGTTCAGGACAGTGGAGGAATTCAAAATTTTTTACTACCAGTTCTGTGGGTGTGGCTTGGTGGGCGTGGCTTGGTGGGTGTGGCAAGGGAAGGATATACTGCAAAATCCCCATTCCCTCCCCACCCCACTAACCTGCTTTCCAGCTCCGTTCTCCTGTGCAGGACAACAAAAGAAGACCAGCCAATCAGCTGGGACTCAGGAGGCAGAGCATAGATGGGGGTGGGGCCAGTCATAGGTATATTTGCTGTTCTCTGAACTACTCAAAATTTCCACTACCGGTTCTCCAGAACTGGTCAGAACCTGCTAAATGCCACCTCTGGTTCAGGAGAGCCCCTAGCTAAGATTCTGTGCAGTTTGGAGAAACCCCAAATCCCACTCCTGGCTGGCCCCACCCCTTACAGGAGTCCCCACGTGGCCTGTTTTGGATGCAGGTAAGTGCAGGGCATGTACGGAGGCTCAGGAGGGTGAAAAACGGGCCCCCCAGAAGTTCGGGAAGGCCAGAAATAGACCCGTTTCCAGCTTCCAGAGAGCCTCTGGAACCTGGGAGGCCATTTTCGCCTTCCTGGAGGCTCCAGGTACAGGAGGCTGACTAGGCCACGCCCACCATGGCCACACACCCTAGCAACAAGACAGAGAACACTTTGCTAAAATATTTGAAGCCCACCCGTGTCATAACAACATACGAACAGCTCTGCTGATTCAGACCAAGGACCACTCTGTTATAGCATTTGGTTTCTCACAATGGCTAACCAGGGCAGAGATCTGACCCTTTCTCTGTAATATAGGTAGCCCTCAGTTTGTGACCACAATTGAGCCCAACATTTCTATTGTTGAATAAGACAGTTAAATTAATTTTGCTCCATTTTACAACCATTCTGGGCAAGGTTGTTAACTAAATCACTGCAGGTATTAAGTTAGTAACACAGTTGTTAAATAAATCTGGATTTCCTGTTGACTTTGCTTGTCAGAAGGTCGCAAAAGGTGATCACATGACCCCCCGGGACAATACAACCATCATAAGTACATGCCAGTTACCAAGAGTTTGAATTTTGATCACGTGACCATGGGGATGTCACAATGGTTGTGTGAAAAATGGCCACAAGTCATTTTTTCAGTGCCATTGTAACATCGAATAGTCACTGAATAAATGGTTGTAAGCAAGGATACCCATACTTCCTTGGTATTTCAGAATCAGAATCAACTCAAAGTTGAGTTTTCAAAACTAAAAGCCTTGATAGACCTGTCCTCTATAAATTAGCCAACTCTATTCTAAAAATAGCCATCACCATGTCTTGTGGGAATAAATTCCATAGACTGATGAGATCTCCCAACAATCTAGCCAACAGAACATCACTTTTAGGTTGGCCACCATAATATTAGGAATAAAGATCTCTGGCCCATTTCAGGACCATTTAACTACAAAAGCTTCTTCTTGAATATCATTCTCAAAAACAGACTCTACATGCTTGAGGAGAATGGTGTGTGGTAAAAATAGATAAGTGTTGTAAAACTTATTAGTAAAGGCAGACAATTGGGTGTCAAGTTAGAAGTGTAGAATATTAATACTAATTACTTTACTAATATGATTGATTTAAAATTACTTTACTAATATGATTGATTTAAAATTACTTTACTGCTAAGATTTATAAAAGGATAGCCTTACTCACTTTTATATCAGTCTTTTATATCAGACAATGTAACATAAATATAGCATGATTTTATCTTACTTGTGCCATTTTCACTCTTGCTTCTTAATTTTAATTGAAGTCATACAAACTTCCTACAAACTTCCTCCAGAAGTTCTAAATACCCCAACAGTGGGAGTTTTTAAGAAGAGATTGGATAATCATTCGTCTGAAGTGGTGTAGGGTTTCCTGCCTAAGCAGGGGGTTGGACTAGAAGACCTCCAAGATCTCTTCCATCTCTGTTATTCTATTCTATTCTATTCTATTCTATTCTATTCTATTCTATTCTATTCTATTCTATTCTATTCTATTCTATTCTACTCTACTCTACTCTACTCTATTCTATTCTATTCTAACTAGTTGTTGATTTCCTTTTTTCCAAGGACAGCTATATATGAACAATCAAGTATTGTTATTAATCATTGCCAGCATCAGAGCTTCCATGCCCCAGGTTTCTTTAGATGCTAAAATAATCAGATTTTCATGGCAAGTGTTCATTTTCTCTACCTTTGAACTTCTTAAGTACTTCCTTGAGTGACACCGTCTTCACAGAGAAGTTGGAGACATGGCCCTTCATGTCAGAGGAAACTGGAATAGGCTTCTGACATTTAACTTTGTCACTTCTAACAAATAAGAAAAAGAAAGATATCAGAACTGGGAGGTAAACTTTCCATTATAGTTCAAAACAATTGGCAAGTTTGAGGCTTCAAAAGTTATTTCTCACCTGTGCTTTGATCCAAGTGGAAATTTAATGGCAAAAAATAGAGGAAATATTTGTAATGCAATCAGGTTCTTTGGCTCTAAGTAAATTTCAGATTTTGCATTATAAAGTAGAGCTGGGATCCCCAAACTTGGCCACTTCGAGACTTGTGGATTTCAACTCCCAGAATTCTCCAGCCAGCTATGCTGGAGAATTCTGGGAGTTGAAGTCCACAAGTCTTAAAATTGCCAAGTTTGGAGACCTCTGAAGTAGAGCTTCTAGATAGATTCTTCAAGGACAAATTATTAGTCTATTTCACACTTCTGAGAAGGAAAGGTTGAAATCATCTGAATCTTTAAGCTATCCTTCCCTCAGCTTGGTATTTGTTTGATTAAGTAGCACCAACTTGAGAGTAGATTCCTAGGAATTACATGGACAGATTTTCTCCAGGATGACCTAACCTGGAGGCCTCCAGATACACCAAGAGAATTTCCAGAATTTCTTTCAACGGCACTTTTGGAAGTTCCAAAACACATCCGGATGACACTTGTTTGGGAAGGCTCGCATAAGACAACAGTGCAAATCCCTTTTTATGTTCATAGATTCATTTGACATACACATTGACAGGCATATTCCAAAAAGTGGACGGGGTCAAGGCACAACTGTATAGAACTTAACTTTATGCGAATATGTACACCCACATATTTAAATAATTTCAACAAATTACAGTTTGATGACAACTTTCATTGGGGTTTTTATTTTTATATTAGCCATGGTGTGGCAGTGGTTAGAATGCAATATTGCAGGCTAATTCTGCCCATTGCCAAAAGTTTGATCCTGACCGACTCAAGGTTGACTCAGCCTTCCATCCTTCTGAAGTCAATAAAATGAGGACCTACATTGTTAGTGAATCTGTACACTGATTAGAGTGGGTTGTAAAGCACTGTGAAGCAGTATATAAGTCTAGAGGCCATTGCTATTTATGGAGATAAGGCAAGTTGGGCAACCTTAGGCAAAGCAAAAGTTTTAAGCTCCAGCTTGAGCAAACTCAAGCTCTCTGAATACATAGAAACTACTCTTTCAATCTAGCTCCTACTAGCTGTACCGCATATATAGATGAACAAAACTTAAGACTTTCAGAGCCAAAGAGTATCTTATTTCCATACCAATACGACATCAACAGCTAGAATTGTTAACCCTGATCTAAGGAGGCTGCGCCACAGCATGTCTTTGAGACCATATTTCTCCAAACAGCTGTCACTGATTTTTTGATTTGTTCATACCCAAAGGGAAAGAGAGGGTGGAAATGCAGCTTCATACCTGGCAATAATAGCTGTCACATCCTACAAGAGAGAGAGAGAGAGGAAAAAAAGAACAGATGATTAGGGAAAGAGATGTCCTAGTCTATTGTACTACTAACTGGGGCTTCACTCATCAACTAAGAGACTTTTGATGGAGCCACCAAGAGAGGTGACCTGGCTGCAATTAACTTGAATATCATCCTTCTTTGTATTGGCCCCACAACTGTGAATTCCATCTTCATTGCAATGTAGATAGTCCTCGTTTAGTGACTACAATTGGGACTCCCAAGTCAGTCGTTAAGCAATGCAGGCACCAAGTAAAATGACAACTGTGCTTATAATCCTACATCAGTTTTCCTTTGCTTTGTACATCTGTGAAAGTCATATACCTTTTCATCAATCTTAAGTGTGAAAAGTTGCTAAACGAGGACTACCAGTATGACCTTGGCTGTCATTACTTTTAAATGTAGTCTGAAAACCATTATATAAATTATATTTTTACAAGCTGACATTTTTCTTCTTGAAGTTCTTTTAACATAATGTAGCAACAACTGTTTTTAATATTCTGATAGCTTGCCTTTATTATTATTTACGTCTAGGCCTAATTCATTTTCACTAAAAGTTTGGTTTTACTTAGTACTGTAAACTGCTGCAAGCAATTTGAAAAATAAATAAATGATAAATTTGCCTTATTTCTCCCTAGCCTTCTACATATCTTGTTGCTTCTCAGTTTGTTTACATCTCAGGAACTACAGGATTTGCTTTAAGAAAGACAAGGGGCTTAGTCATCTGATCGGGAAAAGCTTTCTACAACACTCCTGAAAAAGTAGAACCAATTCAGCTTTCTGAGTTGTCATGAAATCAGGTGGACCTTGAATCATCAAGGAAAAAGCTGCAGAATACTCAACATACTTCCCACTGCACTTTCCAGCACCATGCTTAAGTACAGTAGACTATTAATAGATACCATTCACACTTAAAGGGACCTTAACCTTAATTTCTCAAGTGCTATGGTCTTCAGAAAAGAATGTGGCAATCTTTAAATAGTCATACGAAACTCTATAGTATGGAAACATCAGGTGTAACATGAGAGTAATGCTCATGGCCAAAACCTAAGGCCAGGGAGAACTTTTTTTGCAAATTTCAAGTGGCAAAAATAGAAGGATTTATCCAGTATAAATACAAACAGCCAATGGCCTACATTTGAAAAGTTTGTTGAATTAAAGCCTCCAACCTCCAAACCATTTTTTCTATCAATTCTAAGAAATATTACAACATTTGGCCCTAGTTCATGAATAAATAAAAACCTCCATTTATTTAAATCGGTGTTTTTCAAACTTGGCAATTTTTCAGATGGGTGGAAACGCGGGCTGGGGGATTCTGGGTGTTGAAGTCCACTTATCTTAAAGTCGCCAAGGTTGAAAAACACTTATTTAAATGAATTAGGAAACACAAGCAGGTTTGTCTCTTCCTAAAACATTACACAAGTAAGCAATAATTCCAGACAGTTTCTCTTTTATGTAACATTTGATCCCTGTTTATTGAGGCATGGAAGCACATAAATGCCATTTCCTTGAGCAGTAGAATTCTATGATACACTTCTAAAATTATGTAATCTTTAGCCTGCTCAGCTGTACTACACTGCTGTTATAATTTTTGTAATATTTAAACAATTCAGGAAGAAAGCAATATGCCCCAAACATGTCCAGTTGAAAAGATTTCAGGTAACATAATAATAAATCCAACTAGTAATCTCCTTCTCTCTGACATGAGCGTTTGAAAGCTATAAGTTAGTGAAACTAAGCCCTACCAGGTTTAGCCACAGTATATCTACCCAGTCACTAAATTGCTGCATTTTCTTCTGGTGTATTGAGTAAGCCATAGCTAAGTTTTCTCAACACCCAGTGATGTGCGCTAATGGAGGAAAAACCTGATGTTACACAACATTTCTATATTTACGGATAACAGATAATCTGTATCAATTGGAAGGGACCTTGTAGGTCATCTAGTCCAACCCCCCACCCAAGCATCAGACCCTACACCATTTCTGACAAATGGCAGTCCAATCTCTTCTTGAAAGTCTCAAGTGATGGTGCTCCCAAAACTTCCGAGGGCAAGCTGTTCCGTTGGTTAATTGTTCTCACTGTCAGAAAGTTTCTCCTTATTTCCAGGTTGAATTTCTCCTTGTTCAGTTTCTATCCATTATTCCTTGTTTGGCCTACAGGTGCGTTAGAAAATAGCTTGACCCCTTCGTCCCTGTGGCAGCCCCTCAAATATTGGAAGACCTCTATCATGTCTCCCCTGGTCCTTCTCTTTACTAAACTAGCCAAGCCCAGGTCCTGCAACCGTTCATTGTATGTTTTAGCCTCCAGTCCCCTAATCATCCTGGTTGCTCTTCTCTGTACTTTTTCTAGAGTCTCAACATCTTTTTTATAATGTGGTGAACAAAACTGGATGCAGTACTCTAGGTCTGGTCTTACTAAGGCTTTATAGAGTGGTATTAGGACCTCACTTGATCTTGATTGTATCCCTCTGTTAATGCAACTTAGGATTGCATTAGCTTTTTTGGCTGCTGCACACTGCTGGCTCATATTTAGCTGGTTGTCCACTAAGACTCCAAGTTCCCTCTCACAGTTACTGCTATTGAGCCTATATTTGTCTGTTGTTAAGTCTTACCTTGAGGAAATCAAGCAATGGTTCTTGGTTTTTGTCCTCCAGATCAGCAATGAATTTGTTGAGGAGGGAAATTTCCTTGGACAGCTCTGTGATGTTTTCATTCTGTCTTTTCACAATGCCCTTCTCCATCTTGTCCAGCTGTCCAAGGAGAACCTGTTCTTGATCATGGAGAAACTGGCGTAGCCCTTCAAATTCAGAGAGAACTTTCTGTCTCTCGGTTTCTATGGTTTTCTTTTTAAAAAGTGAAAGAAAAAAGACAAGGGAGCAGAAGACAATTATCCTAGAAGAATTATCACTGGAATAGACTTCACCAGTTTAATCATCCACCATGCTTTGCTAACTCCCAATACAGCTGAAGAGCACCAGTTTCAGAGAGACTGGCCTAAAACTAGAAGGTAATCCTCGACTTACAACCACAATTGAGCTCAAAATTTCTCTTGCTAAGTGAGACATTTGTTAAGTGAGTTTTGCCTCATTTTTTTCCACAGTTGTGAATCCCTGCAATTGTTAAGTTCGTAACATCGTTGATAAGCAAATCTGGCTTTCCCATTGACTTTGCCGGTCAGAAGTTCGCATAAGTTGATCATATGACCCTGGGACATTGCAAGCGTCATAAATAAATTAAGACATAAATAAATATGTCTTAATTTTGATCACATGACCATGGGAAGCTGCAATGGTTATAAGTGTGAAAAACGGTTATAAACCCCTCTTTCAGTGCTGTTGTAACTTCAAACAGTCTCTAAATGAACTGTTGTAAGCCAAGGACTACCTGTATTTTCTCACTGATGCTAGATTGTCAATCATCATTTGGAAGACTATCTACAGTACAGTATGTGAATGCCCTATAGGTAGAAAAGCAAGATATACATTGAATTCTATAAATGTTTCTCAAAGAAATCTCTAGTGTGGGCCTGAGAGGAACCTCTCCTACAGGATGTTGATATATTATTCTAATTCTATTCTGCTTTTCAAAGAACTACTAGGAGAAGATAAAGTGACATGTTTTATTATTCCACCTCATTATATGGAAATAGAGACACAGTGCTTCTGAACACAGAAGTCTCACTCCTGGTTTGTGGTTGTGATATTAATAAACTAAAAAGAGTTTAGCCCTTCAAATTCAGAGAGGACCTTTTGTCTTTCAGTTTCTATGGTTTTCTTTTTAAAAAGCCTAAGATGACTGAGAATATCCATAGACATTAACAAACAAAATCCTTTACTAAGATTTTCTTCAAAAATCTTATTGAGTCACATATCTGCATTCTGTATCTGACTGAATAATGCTGAACAAGCTTGCCAATTTCTGAGTAACAATAAGTACCTACCAGCAATTCTTGGCTCTTCTTGTCATCCTGAGTTTTGAATTCCAGGAGTTCCTGTCTCTCTTTCTTCAAGAAATCCAAGCGAGTCTGTATTTGTTCCTAAGGTCCAAAGTATACAGTTATGTTTTAAAGAATGCTTTCACAATTTTGAGGCAATCAAGATTTGAGAAGATTCCACGCATTCACAGGAAAAATTATGAGTCTGTGAAGAATGTTACGAAGCCCCTAGCTATAATGATTTATGCCCTTACACCAACTATTAAATGGCAAATTCTGGCATACTCTTATTATTGTGTAACACTTTACTACTATTTCAGTGTATTGTGATAAGCTGCTATGAGAGGAAGGAAGGAAGACATTGCCACAGTCTTTGCTGTATTGAAATA